CATTGGAGGGCATTGCTAAAACTGCCATGGACATTCCTCATGTAAAACATCTGTGGAAAGCAACCTGTAGATTGATTATTTGACCTAAAACCAACTGCAACCAACAGGAGTAATAGGGAGGAACCACGCTTACACACCTGCTCTAGCTGACTGATGCAAGTTGGGATACACCTGCAGAACTGGGATTTTGGGATTTCATGCTGACCCAGTTAAACCACAAATACATTCAACAGCACCAAGAAACTGTGTTGTTACATTGCACTGGAGACAAAAAAAAACAGGACACGTGACATATGAGGATAGATCACGCAACTTCCTATTTGAAAAGAGCAAAGTTTATTTTTATATTTTAGTTGCACTTCCAACGAAGTGACCCAGCATCTTAAAATAATGAGGAAAAACTATTTTTATCTATTCCCCTGTAAATGCGTACATACTCTCTGTGTAATTTATGTGAATGGTCGCATAACTGAACATTGTCTAAGCGTTGGCGAAACATTCCTGCAACAGCTTTATTCCCATCTGTCTCTTTGATGGCTTGTCATACTTTCAAAATGACTTGGCATCGGCTCTGGAGATACTGATGCACAATTCTTAGCAACGCTTTCTCTTTTCTCCCTCCGCGGCGAAAAAGGGCATGCAGGCCGTCATTATTTATATAGAACTTTCGAAAGCTGCTCTCGCTCGTGGGCATTGTTCTCTGAGCAATCACCAGCAGCTGTGATTCAGGGACATTTTGGGCATAATTTTTTTCTCTTCTTCTTTGGTGGGAGGTGGATTGGAGGCGGATGATAAGAATTCTATCTCCCTCCAATTTTCTGGTGTCGTGCCTCTTGGCTCAGGTGACAGGCACATTCAGTGTCAGAGTTACACATTCCCGGGCCCACAGGCCAGCTCGTTTGCCATCTCATCACAGCCGAGAACAACACTGATTATGTGGTTTGCTTTTAACTCCTCCTGAGCCAGACACACTGAAAATAAGCAATCTACTCCCTGGAAATTTCGACTGAAACTGGATTGGGTTTCTCTCCCTAATAATAACAGAATAATCATTGTATGCTCCGTTAACCTGATAGCTTCCACCATATCGCCCGCGCACCTGGCAAAAAAAAAGTAAAGAAAAACCCTTCATGTTTGAATTGATGTAGTGTAGCTTGTGTTTCAGCCATATAATAATGCCTTTACAATGAGACTTTTTTTTAAATAAAAAAGTCTAAATTAAAAAGATGTGTTTTGAAGGGTTGATGTTCAGTTCACTCATCCATTTTCAAACCTGCACATCACTGGGCAGGGATGTGTGCTTGGTGGGGGGGGGTGGGGGGGTGTTGGAGTGAATCCCAACATGCAACAGGAGAAAGATGAGAATTTTACTGGTACTACTAAATAGCACAAAGCACATCATTTCAGTCCTAGCCTCTCTTCATTGGCTCTCTGTTAATTTCAGAATTCAGTTTAAGACCTTGCTGTAATGTTACATTAAACAGTGGATTTCTTCAAATGTGTTACCCAAGTCTGTGCCCTTGCTCTCATGAAAACTGTAAATATAAACGTTTCATTAGCCAACAAAGAAATGAATTGTTAACCAGCTATGTAGATGTACGCTAATTATCCAACTAAGGCTGTGATCAAACTAAATGTGCTTTATCTGCTTGGAAACGCAAGGTCTATCCGTCCTCATTTTTTGAAGCCTACATTGTAAAAAGCGCTGGAGGAGTTGTTTTTGCGGTTGCTAAGTAACGCTCCCATATCTCACTTTGCGAACACTCTGAACAATGTTAATGGCTGTTTGCGAATCACCGCCAAGTCTGGTGTTTTGGAATTTAGTCCATCCTTTCAATAGATTTCATTGGTTGTTGATCACGGAGTGACAGATGACGTGTGGTGCTCTGCGCCAAAAATAGACACATTTGCAACTTGACGCGCCCTCTCGAGCAATGGCACCCAAAGCGCGTCTGAGCGCCTTGTCGCGTCCATACGCGTCCAAACCATTGAAAGTTATTTAATAAAAGTCACAGGAGCGCTCAAAACTGCTTTGATGTCTGATCTCAGCCTAAGTCAGCATGTGGTTAAAAAAAAAACATGTAATCAGCTACACTGATTGACCATTCACCAAGTCAACAAACTCACACAATCTAATGGTACTTCACATGCACCATACACATGAGTGTTCATGCTGCCATTCAGTGCATATCAAAGATTTATTCTGGTGAGGGCATAACTCGTCTTTCTCCAAGACAACTAGTCCCTGTTTACATTTGTCATTTCTGGTGTTTTCTATCTGTGTAGTGTCTTGATATGGTGTATCAACATTCCATTTACACTATGCCACATAAATGCGTCTTTGCTTGAAACATACTAATTAGATTTGCAGTTCCGCAGAGTGCAAGTGTCAGTTGACTGGCAGCCTTGGGCTGAAGGGGGCATTGCTGGGATTGTAGCCCTCATGTGAAAATGGAAAATCTTGGGCTGTTTTGGCAAAATTTTCAAGGCAGATACCACTGGCATGTCTTGGACAAGCTAACACCATGCAGAATGTGGTGGGGCCTGTTGCGGTAGCTGGACATGCAATATTTCAGATGGAACATAGAGCTGTTGCACTCAGCTTCTGTAGTCTGATGCGTTTACTCTCAAACTCTTTGTGGCCACAGTGCATGTTCAGATTCCCAAGGTGGTTTGAGAACTTTAAGCGTTGCCAACATGGACCTTGGTCCCATTTACACTTGACCTTTTAACCTAACAGTTCAAGACATCATTGAATTCTTTTCAAAATAAAAGTACTCCAAGATTCCAAAAAAAGAAGCTTTAGGTGGTGCAAGGGAAAAAATACAGAAAATGTACTCACAAATTGCAAATGCAACATAAACCTAGTAATTGTTAATTATGGAGTAATTTACAAATGCCATAGAAATTTCTTCATTCCCTGTAAGTGCACTTCATTTCCATAACTATCCTCTTTGTAACCACTGTAGAGTAAAGCTTTCATTTGAAGTGATAGTTCCACAGATTTCCTTTATTTTGCACTGGTGTACCTGAAGTAGTAGAATGTTTGCATAGCATGTATATTTTCTAGGTGCTGTCAATTTTTATTGCTGGTGTCAAAAACAGTCTAAATTTAGCAAAATATAAATGTCTTATTCTAATGCCAACATATTTTGCCAACGTAATCATCTTTGTACTGGTGAGAAACGCCTTTTCGTTTTTTCAATGTATGAAAATACTTGGAAAAATGACAATAAAGAAATCTTGAATCTTGAATCTTAAATTTTACAGTCGCATGACTTTGCTATGAAACTACAAAAAATATCCTACTATGTTCAGAAATTAACAAGTTGTGGAAGGGTTTGCCTATTGATGCAAATTGAATCATTCAACTTCGGTCTTGTGCGTCTGGGATGAGCCTGGCAGAACCCCAATAGATGTGCCCTGTGCCCCACTTTAACTCTGATCCTGGTGATGCCCACGAAAGAGGGATGTAGGCTGGAGAAGAGGATAAGGAGAGAAGCAAATGGGAGATGGAGGGCATAATCAGAGGTAGTTACTCTCCTTGTTATGCAGCAATCGTTCATCATTAGTGCCTGACAGTGCAGGGACCCCGAAAAGGAATGTGCGACAGCCTAGCAGTGCATCTGAACTCATAATTATCTGTCGTCGTCAGGGAGGGTCACAGTTCTCCACAGTGGGTTACAACAGAACTGCTTGACTTTGCAGTCACTTACCTGACTCTCTTATACTGAGCAACAGACTGAAGTACAATCTGAAGGAAATTTTCTGAAGTGCATCATTGCAGCCAGGGTCCAATTCAAAGTAAGTTTGAAGATTCAAAGCAAACCAGACGACCCCTTTCCGCCTACGAGATGCAATTACCGACCTGAAGGGCAAACCTTGCTCTGCTGCAACAGGATGACTACATTTCCCAGCCCTCCATTTGAATGGCAGTTTGTCACTCAGACCACAAAGTTTCTCAAATCTACCCTTATGAAAAATTATTATAGTTCCAAGCTATAGTTATCTTATAGTGAATGGATGGTATTTTTGCCACCATAGTGTAGTATTACTGTAGTGATACTATAGTTATTCAAACTACAGCAATACAATTATGTGGACTATAGTAATATCATGGTACTGTTGACTGTGGTAATACAATAGTTATAATGTGATGGCCACAGTACTACTCTAGTTATACTATGTAAAGTATAGAAATACTACAGTTATGCCAAAAATACTACAGTATTACGAAGAAACAACCATAGGATATTTTCATAAGGGTAGCTCCCCAGTGGTGCAATAACCTGCCTGTGTCCTTATGACCTGCTCAGTGCGCTGAATGTACTCTGCTGTGGATAAACGGATCAGTTAAATAATTGTGATTTCACATGAAAATGCCCAAAACCTGTCAATGGGATCACGAGTAAAACTTTAATTGGTAGTACTGAGGTGTCCACCGAGATACACTGAGACCAGATACTGAGTGGAATGTTACTTGCATACCCGTATATCAGCCACTACTTGGATGACTACCGACAGTATTAATACTAACGGCTGTGCTGGTGCCAATTTTGCAACCTAGCTTTCGGAGTCCTGCTGCTGTGCCTTTGGTGTTCTTTTCCAGCGGAGCATTTAATTAGTCTTGTAGGATTGAGTGCTGATCTGTACTTGACATCATTTAGGAGGAATCTGCTATTTTCCCCATGTGGCAAAAAAAAAAACATGACTCCATTTTCTTATGTAATAGTTTGTAATGACTCTCTTGCAAGTAAAGAGCAGGTATATTCCAAGCCTAGTAGCTCATCAGGCGAATGCTTAACCCCAGTTTCAGTAGCATTCAGCAACTATTTGTAGGAGTACTGATACTCCCCCTGGATGGGATGCTGCTCCATTGCAGGTTATTCTCCCAGCTCTTAGTCAGGTTTCCATGACAATTTGCCAGTACCCAATTATACACCTGGGTGAAGTGAGGCACTAAGGGAGTACGGTGTTTCTGCCCAAGAACATGCTGCGAAAGCTGTAGCAAGGACTCAAACTCAGGACCTTTTGGTCCCGAGTCAAGCGCACTTATCCACTGCGCTACCGCACCTCCCTGTCTCTTGCAAGTTCTTGCGAATAATTCCTTTCTCGAGAATTCCCCCAGCTCCTGTAAATGTCCTAGGTCCACATCGTTCTGCATAGCACTTTCAAATGACCTACTGCTGCCACTGTGATCTGGGGAATAACGCGGCACAAAGGTCACGAACAAAAAAAAAAAGTCAAACAGAACTTAGGGCTGGGAGACACGGAATGTGAAAAAATATCCACTTGTAACTGACTTGCTGCTCTCCTTATTGACACCTGAGACACAAAATGAGATTCACACTTTTTCACAAGCCGTGCCAGGCACAACATTCCCTGCTCGAGGGAGACATTTTAGTGCTTTGGGTGTTGAATAACTTGGGACCCCCCTGACATTCTACCCGTACTGCAAACAAGCCTAATGACATCACACCGTAGTTTAGCATATTGTCAGAAGCAGAACTGAAAAATGCTCACTTTCAATCCAGTTAGAAATTAATTGGAGCAGACATATGGAAGTTCTCCTCAAAAAATTGTTTTCAGTTTATTCACGTCCCTGATCTTGTCCTCGACCCAGCTATCTCCAAAATTCAATCAGGTGATCCAACCATGGCGACCATGGCGCACCTGTCCTAAAAAGTTTGTGTGATTTGATCAAATTTGATCAGACAGCCTCCACCCACCCCCCAGACTGCTGACAGATGCACAGACAGCACAACAAACAAACACATGCCAACGCAAATAATAGCCCTCACCTTTACAGGTGTGGTATTTACTGAGTAGTATTGCTAATAAAGTCGAACACAAATATAATCTTTGGGGTACAGCAATGAAGAAATTAGATTTTTTTTTTTTTTTAAATTTGGCATCTCCAATCCCACCCGAATCTGGAATGCCCAATTGGTGAACTATGTACAAGGCTTGCTCATTTGCGACACCTTGTTGCCAATTCAGGAGAGTGAAGACAGCTCGCGGCTCTCCTCCGAAGCACGCGCCTGTCAGCCACCGCTTCTTATACACTCATTGGTTGAATCTTCGCAAGTTCAGAACAAGGGCAGAGGATACCCGGACATGAACAGACTTAGAATCTTCCTGATGAGCGCCCGTCTGGCCAACAGGAGGCGCTTGACCAACGAACAAAGCTATTTATTTATTTCCCTTTCCCGGCAGTCCCTTCCCAATTTGAAACCCTGTAGCGCAATGGCCCATTGTGCGCTACTCTGAAGAAGCTGCCGATCACTGCCGGTTGGTACGACCGGGGCTCGAACCCACGACTTGATAGTCACTTGTGCACTGCAACGCAGTGCCTTAACCGAGTGAGCAGAAATTAGATTTTTTGAACACCCTTTTGTTATGAATATCAAATGATAATCCTGCCCAGCTGGAACAAGAAAATTTGTTTTCAGAAGGGCTGTTGATAGTATTTTTTGTTATGCCACATTTCCCCACGTCAGCTCAACCCAAGAGCATTAGAGCTCAACCTACATGTGAGTGTGGGGAAGTAAAGATATGGGCTAAAATAGACTCCAGAGCAATACCATTAGTAATGTGATTGGTAATAAAGCAAATGTTTTACTCACTCCACAAAATGGTTCCAACTGCGTGACCTCAACCTGAAGAATGGGTATGTGGAGCCCAGAAGCGATAAGATTGAGTATTTTTTCAACGTTGTAACAACTTTACAGAGACCATTTGACAGTTCATCAAACTATTGGCTAAATTTTGCAAAATGCAAATGACTGCATTTCCTGGAAGCCAGTAGGAATGTGGCATTCATGAGTGCACGCTGATGTATCAGGAGTGTAGAATCAATGCTTGTCTGGTATCATATTCAACACATTCGAGAGGAAAACAATGTAAAGCTATGAATATTATTTTGGCTCCACACTGTAGTAAGGTGGATGGTAAATAAAACAGTGATGATGAGGTTAAATTGCAGAATGAAAGCATTAATTTCAGGTGAAATATGAGATTTTAAAAACATATATATTTATATACTACATATATGGATTGCTGCCCATTTTATTCAAAGTGCTAAGTCATAAGGCTGCAAAAGACAGAAAACTAATTAACAAAATCTTAAATGAAATATTCATATTTTACCCCTTGTGCCGTCCTTTGTATTTAATTATTGACCGCAATCTGCAACCCATAGACATCACCAAATGATATGCTTCTCCAGTGATGCTCTCCCAGGTTTGTACAAGAGCCGTCTTTAGTTCCTACAGGATTCTACTGCAGTTTTCTGTTTTGCCTTTAGCAAGTGAAGCACATGTTCCGTTGGATCCAGGGCAGAAGTTTTTGCTCAGAAAGCAACTGCATAGCTGAAAGTGGTTATGATCCCCCCTGAAATTTGAAAGAGTATGCTTATCACCATGCTGAAGTGCTAATCTGCTGACAACAATATAAATCTCCGAAAGCAATGTCCCTGACAGAAAGCTGGTGCACAGTAGACGAGTCTGAATTTTAATAATATCCTTGAGGCGCAGCTTGTTGCTGAGGGTGATTTCATGAAAAGACTTGGGATGTGATTATTAAATGAAAAGATGTCTGATGTTTTGATTTAATGAAAAAGCATTAAATTAGACAGTCAACTGAATTTGACTAAACCCTGATAATGAAGTTCTTTCTTGGATGGAAATGTATTCTCGCACCATCTTTCATCACAGGCTGTCAGACAGTTCTGAAACTACAATAAAATACATTACTATTTAAGATATAATGAGCTTGGATGAAGGGAAACATCGCACCAACTACATTTTGTTTCATTATGGGTGATAAGATCAGCCACCATGAACACATCTCTCAAAATATAAGTGAAGAAAAAAATAGTAGATGACTACAAAGACAAAGAACGCTGACTGAGAAATCGAAAATAATTCAGGGGCTGCTAGCTCATTGTTCTTTTGACCATTATTGAACCGACAAACTAACAGTCCATTGCTAACAGTGGTTACACTGAGGATGCCAAATTTTATACTCAATTAACTGATATTTCATTATCATGACTGGTGTATTTACCAAACTCAAAACTGCAGCTTTGACTCAAACGTTTACAGTGCTTTTGTGTGATATTATATGCCATGCTCCGTGTCAGAGGGCTTAGACTTTGAAGTCATTACACACACCCTTTTTTGTGAATGCAGTTCTAATAATACATCAATGGGGCATAAATTGCTCATTTCTAGCACCCGATTATTTCTAGCACGATTGTCATTGCATGAGCTGTAACAAGGGTTGCTGCTTTGAAAACATCAGTGGTATTATTTATAAAGATCGTTGAACTGTAGCTTTGATTAGCTGGATGGTCTGTTTGCGCCGTTGAGAATTATTATCCTCTCATTCGCGTATGAACTTTGGTCTTCAAATGCTTGGACGAGTGGCATAATGTTTGCAGAACTGGATTAATAATTCCACAGTCTTCTGAGCTGATGCATTATAGTTGTACTCTTGAGAAAAGAGCATGAACTCTATTTGTCTGAGTACAATACCCAGCTGCACAAGTGGACTATGAAGCAAAAATGAAATCTGAAGAGTGCTTTGGTGTCTACTGAACAAAGAAATGTAAAACTCAGCATGAACTAGCCCACTATTACAGGTAGGCTATGCGTCATCGTTTGAACTAAGAGTCAGAAAATACCTTTCTCCAAGTGAAGTGGGGTTAATGAGCAATTTGCTAGATTTTTTTTTTTTTTTTTTTTTTTTTAAGTGGCTGCCTTGTACTAAGTTTCCTCTGACTTTACTTTAATTGACCTGAAAAGTGAGAAGTGTGTCCTTCCCTTCAGCAGGTAATTATCACATGCTATGTTTGCAGTCATGGCTTCAGAAAGTTCTGCACAGGAACTTCTGTATCCTGCTGGTCCAGACAACGATGATAAATCACAATTACCTCCGGTGGCCCAAGAACAGTACTCTGCACATAATCTGAATCAGTTGTCCAGGTAAACTCACAGTCGTGATACAGGGACCAAAACTTGGCAAGACCAGTGCCCTCACGGATTGAAAGCCCAATGACGCGATAGGTATTTAGACGCAGCTCGACTCAGCCTGAGTGGGTATTGGGGGGCATAGTTGGTCGCAATTTCCAATACTGAAGAGTTCTTGTACAGCGAGAAGTCTGCCTATTATCAGCTGTGTGTGAAGCTTGGTCCTCTGGTACAGTTATGATACAGCTGGGCTGGTGGACTTAAGCAAAACAGAGCTGCAGTCGCGTGCACCCTACAGTACACACTGATTCAAGGAGATGGGCGGCTTCTTAACAAGTAACACTAAGTATTCTCATTAAGGTGTGACCCCAATTCAAAAATAATTTGCACATCTTAGACCCTGCAAATTAAATCAAAGAACTGATTTGAGAAGACCTTCCACTGTATTGAAAACAGAACAGCAGCACATGATTTGTTGTAATTGCATTGTATATTGGAAATACAGTATGCGAAGACTGTAGAATCATGACTTAAAATCATACTCATTTTGCAATGGAGATGCCACTTGGTTCCTCCATTAAGCTGATCCTCTGCTGCACAGCTGTGTGAGTACTACAGGCAGGCAAATTTACCGCCCACACTCTCTGCTTATGCAGCTATACACTTGTGATTCATGAAGATTGTGTTTTGGCATGGTCTCGCTAAAAAATGAAGGGAACACACAACATCAAGATGGCAGAACATATTGCTCCAAATTTTGTCCATATCTTTCTGCATTAATGGAGCCATTGCAAATATGCGCGTCACCCATGTCACGTGCACTGACTCACCCCCATACCGCGTCAGATGCTGGATTCTAGACCTGATGTAAAGTTTAACTAAGGTTATCTGCATTGTTTTTGGTCTAGAGAACATGGTGGCTGTTGTGTTTTTTTTGTTTTTTTTTTGGCTTTTTCATGGTGGCTGTTCCTGAAATTTAAACTTTACAAATCACAATACACCGTCAGACTTTACACGAAGTGTTGCTCATATTGGCTTTATATAGCATGTATAATGCCTTCATAAATGAGACATAAAGTCTTCATAAATCATACATAAGCAA